AGAAACTTTATAACTGTAGCACTGTATTTACATACAACGAAAAAGCAACGTAGTCCTGAAAGACAGATGTAATAGTGATGCAACACTAACGCCGACTGCGCGCGGGAATCATGGTATTATACCATGGCGGGAATATAGAAAGGCAACTGGTGGGGCGACGATGGAATTTCTAGACTATTCCATGAAGGGTCCAGATATTCTTGAGGAAAAGTAAAAGGTACAAAATGTCTATTTCAAGAATGTTCGAGAATGTTCAATATTGTTTGGGGGAAGCCACATATATATTTATTTAACATTCACTCTAAATTTTTATTATTCATACCCCAGGGGAAGTCTAATGCCAGAATTGAATTCGGCATCCCCGAAAACCCCCGAGTAACGAGTTTGGAGCGACTTTCATGCACGCTGCCATTTCTCCCCCAATTCACCCCCCGCGCACCCCCACAGAGCCACCCCCGTGCACCCCCGGATAATTATAATGCCAGAATCGAGTTCGACAGCCCCGAAAACCTCCGAATAATGATTTCCAAGCGATTTTTCCGAGTTTTCAGTCGTTCCTATAATGGTGCAAGTTACGATGCAATTGGAAAATGCATTTTCCGGCCCAGAAGGCATTTTTCCAAAAACGTGCCAAACCAGATCATATAAACTTTTTTCCCTGGACCTTCCTGAACACAATGCAGAAAACCGCATCTCGATATCTGGTGTATGAAAAAAGTTCCGCTATTCGGGTGATTTTGATCTAAATGCCCTGGGTCGTGCCAACACGGTTTGCGTTGAATATTAGAAAAAATAATAATAGTCATTGAGGAAAATATAAAATATGTAAGTTATTTTTTTTGGTTTATTATACTAGGGCACGTGCCCAAGTGCCCTTACGGGCAAACCGCCATTGATACGAATAATCACCGAATAATAAATAATAATAACCCTGTATAAATATTGTTTGTAAATTTTTTGTCAGTAGTCCAGTAAGTAACTGAAAGGACCAACCTGTCATTAAGTCGGTCCAGATTTCCGTTGTCTCGTAGGTCTCGGCTGTCGTTTCCAAGGTCGAAAACTTTTACCAACTCTGCTGCGTCGGAAAGGGCCCAAAATGGACCCTAAAACTGGTTTCTCGCCAATATCTTCCACAATATGCAAATTAGAGAATTTTTTTTTAGATAAAAAAGAAAGATCTTATCATTATCTACAAAAATGGTCCCTATCATTTTTGTCGGAAATTCGACAGGTTTCGAGATAACCGCAATTAAAAGTCCCCTCGTTCAGCCCCTGCTTTATCTCTATAGCAATGCTGATTAGCTTGTAAACGGGTGGACAAATTGTTTCAGAACTCAGTCAAAAATTGATATTTTTCGATGATTCAAATTTCATTACAATGGGAAAACCCATAGGTATCGATCCATGTGCCTTAAAGCCCGTTATTTCCTGTCAAGAACATTGAAAAAGGGGTCAAAGTTGCGTTTTCCACTATTTTGGACCACTTTATAGTAATTCATTCATATTTTTTTTTCTTTTAATAGTTTTTTATCCCATTTTTGTTTTAAATGGGATCCTGAGATGTCTCGAATGGTCTCAGAATTTTTTTTCCAGTATCTTCCTGGCGTTTTAAAACAAAATTGATTTGTTTATTTGCATTTTTCATACGTTTTCGGAGTTCTAGAAATCTTTGAAACAAGCAGTAATTAAAAACTCATATTTCATTATATTGTTATTCAATGCACACCATTTTAAAGCTTAGAATGTCTACTTTTCGAATGTATTTTTTTTTTTTTAATAAATTGCTCCATTTTCCAGAAATCGGGAAAATTGATCACACCGGGGAAAACCGGACTTTTTTTTAAATACTTCTTGTTCCCCGCTGTTCATTTTTTGAACATTAATACCCAGACCGAAGTGAAGCTGATATTCTCACCTTTCCATTTCTATCAATTGATCCCCGTATGTGAGCGTGGTTCTTAGATGTTTGTTAGAATTATCTCCCGCATTTTTACGAGATCCACGATATTCCATCATAACCTAACCACGTGTACCCACGCGCCACGCGCTCACCTTAATTATCTGCTTTTGTTGGTATACAATCTCTGTTGTTCTTGGAGTCGTTATTGTCGGTTGTTATATATTTCTTTCGTATATTTAAAGAAAATTCACAATTCTGGGTTCGAGTAGTACAATAATAAACAATGATTACTTTTATTTTCTATATTTAACACAAATGAGTTAAAGTGGAATATATATCGAAGATTTGGGGTTGAGTTTTTTGTTGCTATATCTATCATATAATTATTTCTACTTATGTTATTCTTTTTTTTTTAGGTTAAAACAAACATAAAATAGAAAGCCCCTTAGATACAGAGCTTTCAGCGGCACTTCTAGAAGATTTGCTTTACAAAGTGAGTGTAAATTACCGGAAAAATTAATGAAATTAAGTGTAAAAGGCAATTGATTATTTTAAATAAATTATATCTTTGAGTTTTAATTTTCCAACTTATGTCTAAGGCTTATCTGTAACTTCCAGGGATCCTCCGTATTTTCCCATTCAATGTGTACACAATTTCCATCACCATTTGACAGTACAGAGTGGATTCAAGGATTGTTCTGCAGCTAAACATCCATAATACAGCAAGAGGCAATTTACTTAAAGTTATATCCTATGACTCTTGACATGAGTAACCTTACTAGGTAGCCAGAGGTAGGTATACCTTGACACGGTTATACTATACCTATTTAAATTGTAACTGAGCTAGTTAAAAAACTAACAATAAAAGGCCTAAAATAATAATTTATTTTATGTAAAATGATGTAAGAATTATTATTTTAACTAATTTTATATCCAAACTATATTTTAAACCTACCTGGGGTGGTATGAGGCCAAATGTGGCTTCCAAAGAAGCGATATAAATAAAATCGAAAAAGTTATATGGATTTGTCTATCCTCAAAAGTAGAGTCTTGTTTATATGTTTTCTAAACAAAATAATCTTCCAAATAATACTTTTTCTTTGTGAAAAATCCCGGAAGAATTAGAGATGGTTCGAGACCCAGAAGGGGTTGAAGGGGAGGAGAATGAAATAGCTGTCGAGACAGCAACACAGGGGTTGGAAAAACAGGGGGAAGGGACGCGTGGAGCAGGGGAAGGAATAGAGCAAGAACAAGACGATGAAGAGTATGATTCTGATGACATTGAATGGTTTAACGTATGATAAATTATAAGCATTGCTATGTATTTCGTATTTTCAACATGTTTTTCATATTAAAAGAAATTTTTTAGAAACTTTCTTATTTTTCTGAAACCCTGGACCTATATTGTTCCGATAGAAGTTGGCGAAAATGTTGCAAAAGACGCAGAAAATATAAAGGGTCTTTTCGGGTCAATATTCATCACACTCTAAAACTAATAACCCACTATTAGGCAAAGCGCCGGGATTTGAGACTGCCACATGAAAAAAAAATATTTTTTTCACTTTTCTATTAAATTTTGCAACGCAAATTACACAGAACATTCGGCAATGTAGATGAGACCCCCCAAGCACTACTTTACAGAAAAAATCCCGTAGAATCTGCCAATAATTGTCGAAAGATCGGTTGGTGCCCGGATTTCCATTCATAGGCCCTATAATTTAGTGAGCAGAGGTATGCCGCTGGCGCCATCTACAATTGGTCTCCAAAGTCCAAAACATGAAAATCAATGTATTCCCAACTCCCTCGAGCGGAAATTCAGTGAGAAACTAACATTTCTATTCAGTGCAAAAATTCGGGCTTTTTCGAAGGCTGTTTTTGTAAAAATTAATATTCGTCTTGCGAAAAAAATGGTAGGCACCATTTTTGTAGATAATGATACGATCTTCATTTTTTATCTAAACAAAAATTGTCTAATTTGTATATTTTGGCAGATATTAGCGGAAAACCATTTTTTCGGACTTTAGGGGCCATTTTGAGCCCTTTCCGACCCAGCAGTATTGGTAAAAGTTTTCGCCCTTGAAAGAAACCGTCAAGACCTAAGAATTGAGCTACAAAGGAAATCTGGACCGACTTAATGACAGCTTTGCATATTTTCAGGTATTCAGTTACTGGACTACAGCTCTTTTTAGATAAATAATATGCTTCATGTCAGATACTTTTGTTATATCGTTTTAGAGTTACTTTTTCTAAGCATATGACAAACGGCTTGCCTGAGAAAATAGTGAAAATTTCTAGATTTTCTTGTCAGCTTTTTGTTAAATAAATTATGTATAAATAATATGGTGACTATGTCCGACACTCAAGTCTCTTGTCTTATGTCAAACGGCTTGAGTGCGAAAATGGTGGCAATTTGTATACATTTTTAAAGCAACTTTACTATGTTCTAAAAATTTGAAGACCACGCTCTACATTTAAGCCATTCTTTTTTATGGGATGTTAAATCCATAAGTTTTTATTGCAAAAAATTAGGTATATGGGACAATAACTGAAAAATCGAAAATGTTTCTGAAAAATTTTCCAACCCTCAAAATGGACTTATCCACTCGCGCCACTCAAGCCAATATATTTTTCAGGCTAGTGACAATGTACGTTTTCATACTCTCGATTGGCTTGTGTGAAAAAATCAGTTAAAATATCCATTTTTCCTTACAAAATTACGATGGTATTTTAACCCTTTGGCCACTTGCAACACTCAAGCCTCTTGTTTTCTGAAGCAAAGTTTATTAATTAATCATTCAGTGAACTTGGCTTGCGTGGTAATCTGAGCAAAAAACGCCTTTTATTTATGTTAAGGAAAATAGAATTTTCCATATGTTATCCCCAGGAGCCACTCGTAAATTTCCTTTTATTTTACTCAACATCGATGTACTTTTCAACCCTCTTCGAGGCTTGTATGCGAAGATGGGGTAGCTAAATCAGTCACTATGTGACGGTCTATAACTTGCCATAACAAAATGTTTGTTGATTACTTAGTACCAAAGCAATTACTTCGTGCCGACTTTGTTCTACATCAATCGAAAACTATTCAAAAATGCATTACCTTCTTAATACGAGCACTGTCACAACCTCGAGCATGCCTAATCCCATCCAAAGAGTAATTTACTGAGTACCCATGAGTCAGAGAAGGACGCTGCCTCGTGTTAACCTAATTAGAGGCAAGCGGCATGGAGCAAAAGCAGCGTTAGTAAAAAATTATCTAATCTAAGTATTATTTTGTTTTTTATATCGATACAGCAAAATGTTAATTGGTTAGCTAGCGGAAAAGTGAGTACGTTTTCATGACCAAGTTCATAGAATAGTTGAATTGAAAGAATAAATATTGGTGTTTATTTATAAAATAGGTTGTTATAGCTGGTCGTGAAAGCGTATTCTGAATTGAAAGGTATTGGATTATTATGTGTTATTACAAAAATTTGAAAATAATCTTCATGTGGCTTTTCGTTATATTTTGACAACTACTTATTTTCAGTAAAAGTTCTGTTGTTTTACCCATTATAAGCAATCAATTGACAACTTCTAATAAACAACTGTTTCACTTGGAAACATCATTTTCATAGCCATCTATGTGTTACGCTTTCATAGTGCAATAAGGCACTAAATAATTATTAATATTTGTAATAAGGAAATGCAGGAGTACTTAAAATGGCAAAAATATAATAGATTGTCCCTTTAAAAAAATATAACAAAGCTTTTACCTAAAACTTTTTTTTGTGTTTGAATCAGTCATAATATCAGATTAATGTCTCGATCTCAGTACGCTTGTCGCTCTAATGTACGGTACGAAGAAGAGGCAAGGTGCTAAACAGGATATACTAGGAACCATGGTGTAAGAATATAGGTGAAGCGGTGCGCAGATTTTATGACATCAACATCGGTATTGTCACGGCGCCTACAAACTGCACTGCTTTGTTTACATTTTGTAATGATTGTCAAGATGTGGTCAAGATGTTACTCTTTTATTTCCTAGTTCTACAATCATTGTAAAACTGAAAATATATATTTAGATGAAAATAACAACTGATAAATCATATCAAGTTATGCTCAATAATACAAGAAAATGCAAAGAAAACTCATTATAGGCAGATATTGGACCCTTGTGGAAACAAATTCAAATTAAAACATATTCTGTGCACTTTTCTATACAAAAACGAGAATTTATTTCCAATTTAGCATAATATATTTAAGTTAATTAGTTAATATGCATTTTTCTTGGAACAAGATAGTGTTCATCTGAAACTGAATTCTTCCGACACAAAACATGGAAGAGTATATTAGATACGTCTAGGATTTAAATTTTCATACCTAGGCATCGTTATTTGATTTATTGAGAAAAAGATGATAGTCAAAACGTCTACGACCTAATCTTTTATGGTCATCACCAGGACTAGGTAACAATAATATAATTGGAAACTATTTTTTTTTATCTTATAATACAACAAAAATATGACAACCTAACTTTATATCAATTACATTATCAATTTAATTAGAAATTAATTGAATCATACGTACCAATAATTACTAAAAAGACATCTTTATATATAAAAATATTATTAAATTTTAAGATAAATACAACTATAAAGTTCTAAGCACTATCAAGAAAATATTGAAATAACTTAAAAACTCGCTTTTTCACATTAAAGACATATAGTGTATTTTATTTGTTGCACTAGTGTCACACTCGACACTGTATTCGAACTGTCATACTCGTCAAAAGTATATGCTATACGTGTGCTGCCGTCAAACATTTGAAGCTACACTGAACAAATCAAATGCGATTAGTGCAGAAAACTTACACCTAGTGCTACAAATAAAATCCACTAATAGGCATAATAAAAATCTGTTTCGACAGTGACGTCATGCGCAAGACTGACCGAATTTCGTACCGCTTACCGCTTTACCTGTATTATTCCACCATGCTAGGAACGACACTAAAAACCGCGGAAACCTCGGAAGCGCTCGGAACTTTGCGAAGTTACGCGGTAAATAGACGTAGCGCTGGAGTAACGAATTTGAATTTGATATAGAGGGAAAAAGAAAAAATGAATAACTAACCCTAGAATGCTGTTACTTACCAGACTTTTAACTTTAATCTCTGTGGCAGGTATAAATATAATATGGTACTGGAAAGTTTAAACAATTTACTTAACACAAATCAGCTGAAAAACAAACGTAATAAATTGAATATTTGGTTGATGGAAAAATGTGTGAAGGATTCTGAAGGTTTGCTAATTTTAACCAATATATCCATTTTATTTTAATATCTAATATACACAACCAAACTTATATGGAATAATCTATTATTTTTCATAATTTTTGAGATATATGAACATTTTTTGTTTATGAATAAAACTCGGTCCTTACCAAAGACTTTTAATGACAAATAGGCCACATAGCAATAAAAATAATTAATTAGTTGACAACATAAACATAATGCTATTTTTTTGGTTTCTGAAACGAAATGAGATTTAAATTTTTAATAGCCGAAAAGCATAAACAGAAAGAAAATTGATAATTTTAATAATCCGTGTTATCAACTCTAACCCTTATACAAGCTTCTATTCGCCTTGGCATGTTTCTTATTAAATTGTCAACATTGTCTTGGGGTATGTTTTCCCATTCTGCTAATGCTGCATCAATAAGCTGTGCGACATTTCCTGCATTGTCTCGACGAGCTCTAATCCTTCTTTTGAGCTGGTCCCACAAGTTTTCGGTAGGATTTAGGTCTGGTAAACATGCAGGTCAGTCTAAAACTGTGACACCTTCTATTTCCAGATATTCTATAGCCACTCTGCTGGTATGGGGAAGTGCATTATCGTACATAAAGACAAAATTATCCCTGATTGCAGCTCTCCAAAGCCTCTAGTACTAAATCAACATATCTCGGACCGGTTAAAGTTTGTTGAAGTGGTAACAATGGAGTTTTTGCTTCCAGCATAATAACTGCCCAAAACATTACAGTTCCTCTTTAATATCTTGGGACGTATGTGGCAGCGTGGAGTCGCTCATCTTTCTGGAGCTCTGAGAACCCGAATTCGATGGTCATCTGATCTTAGGCCAATTCTGGTCTCATCCAAAAAAAGAACATTTTGCCAATTCTCAATTGTCCAGTTATGGAGTTGGAGGCACCAATTTAACCGGTCAATTTTATTTTGTCTAGATAACGGTGGGATCTGTAACTCTTTCCTGATGTACAAACCTCGTGCGCGAAATCTTTTTCTTAGAGTTTCAATTGAAACGTTCATACCTGTAGTTTTCAGAAGTTGTTGTTGTAGCTCTGGATGAGAAACCCTGGAATTTCATCAAGTAAATTGGCACACAAAGCGGTCCTGTTGTTCAGTTGTGACTCTTTGACCACTTTGTATGGGCCTGTTCTTGAGAGTTTCTAGTTCCAAGTACCTTTCATATGTTTTCGATACAACACCCTGAGTATCGCTTACTACCTCTGCGACGTTTCATTGGGGCATTCCTTGTTCAATGAGAGTAATAATTCTAACCCCTCTGCATATCGGTTAGTTCAATATAAGGCATTTTGTTATTTTCTGGACCGAAATCGTGATTTTACTTGTAAACATAAAATTCACAAGATAATAAATCGTTTCTTCTTCATTATCATGTTTGTTAAGAACAAAAGGCCTTATCTTAAAGTTAGTTACTAAATTTTTTCGTTAAAAAACTTTTATTCAGAAATACACAGTGATTCCATATACGTTTGGTTGTGTGTATTTCATTATATAAATATTTATTTTATATAGAATGGAAGACCACATTCATATATTTACCAGAATAAATGACGTGATTAAAGCGCAAAAAAAGTAATTTTTTTAAAAAATTTAAATTTTGGCAAAATAAATTAGGCAATATCTAGAATATGCATATATTTTAAAGTTTCAATTGCTTCCAGTTTCCGAGAAAAAAAATCAAAGGGCTTTAAATTTTGAAATATCATGATAAAAATAAATGCATTAATCAAAAGCACTATTCTTAATATAATCCATGAATTTAAGCTCTTAAGACATTAAGAGGGGATTATATTAAGAATAGTGCTGTTGAAGAATGCATTTATTTTCATTATGATATTTCAAAATTTAAAGCCCTTTGATCTTTATTTCTCGGAAATTGGAAGGAGTTAAAACTTTAAAATGTATGCATATTCTAGAAAATATTGCCTAATATATTTTGCCAAAATTTTAATTTTTAAAAAAAATTACTTTTTGAGGTATTCTTGTCCGAAAATTATAAGGGGGTGCTGTAATCACCTTAAAAAAATTGTTTGTTGTATGGTTCTCTCAGTGCACATACATAGTTGAAAAGTATCGGAGTTTCCACGTAAATAAGTGCAAATTACCTGAAAGTAAAATATAAACCGAAAGGCCGTTGAAATTTGAGGTTAGTTTTTTTTTGACGCGAAATCTGTAAAAAGCAAACATTCAAAATTTCCACCAAACTCTATCTACCGACCGTCTCCGGAAAGTACAGAACGCTTCCGAGGTTTCCGTGGTTTTTAGTGTCGCCTGTATATTTTTAGATAACGTAGGTTAGAATCTTGTCGGAGCATAAAGATTTAATTTTTTTTTGATTGTCTACTTAGGGGTTTAGAAATTTATTTAAATTTAATTTTGATACATATTGTGTTTTTTTTTGTGTAGGCAAAAGATCAAAGAAACCTGTAAAATATTTTCTCAAGGTCTTTTCAAAAATATTTGTAATCCTATAGATATGTTAAGAATTAGTCACTTTTCTGCTTACCGTTAATTTAAATTTTTGCCTGATGATGACCGGAACAGGTCGAAACTAATTACATTATTCGTACCGATTTGGTGTTTAATTATAAAATTAAATAATTAAATAATATTTAAATATATTGACTACATTTTTAAGAAATGGGTAATCTATATTCTAATTATTTAAATTATCAACAAATAATTGTGTATACAAAAAAAATATGGTTCTGGATATACTATTTAATATTACTCAATTATTGAGGAAAACCAAATTCATTATTAAATATGTTCAATGTAAAAATCTGCTAATAGCACTTAATAATCCAATAACCTTATCTGAAAAGATATTTATACAAAAACAATTCAGTTAGTGTAATTTACAAACAAGAGTTATTTGAAAAGTCTGATTAAAGCCACACCCAATCCCGAAATAGTAATGGTGACTGGCTGATGAACTATCTAGTTATAGCGCTAAATTCAAATGGTTTACTGTAATTCTAGTTAACATTTAAATTTAAATGACGGGATTTTTAAAAATATACGTTCGCATCGCGGCAATATTTTAAAAGTATATTCCATGTTCTTAGAAACTAAAAACGATATCAAATTGACATCTTCAGAAAAAATCAAGATTTTTAAGAAGATGAAGCATGTTAATTATGAAAAAAATCTGACTGAAAATGGGGATTAAGGGCGTATGTTAAACTGTGAAGAGTATCATATAGAATGCCATTCATTAATATATCTTCATTCTAGTTTGTAACTCATTACTAATTACTATTTTTTACTTAAAGTAATTTTTATTCACAATACTCAAGGCGGATAAGTGGATTCTGAGAGACAAGTAAGAATATTTGAAATATTTTAAGATATTTTGAGATTTTTTTGGGATATTTTGAGATTTGTTTTTGATATTTTGAGATATTTTGAAATACTTTGAGATAGTTTGAGATACTTTCAGATACTTTGAGATATTTTGAGATATTTTAAGATATTTTGAGATATTTTGAGATAGTTTGAGATATTTTGAGATATTTTGAGATATTTTGAGATATTTTGAGATATTTTGAGATATTTTGAGATATTTTGAGATATTTTGAAATATTTTGAGATATTTTAAGATATTTTGAGATATTTTAAGATATTTTAAGATATTTTAAGATATTTTGAGATATTTTGAGATATTTTGAGATATTTTGAGATATTTTGAGATATTTTGAGATATTTTGAGATATTTTAAGATATTTTGAGATATTTTAAGATATTTTGAGATATTTTGAGATATTTTGAGATATTTTGAGATATTTTGAAATATTTTGAGATATTTTGAGATATTTTGAGATATTTTGAGATATTTTGAGATATTTTGAGATATTTTGAGATATTTTGAGATATTTTGAGATATTTTGAGATATTTTGAGATATTTTGAGATATTTTGAGATATTTTGAGATATTTTGAGATATTTTGAGATATTTTGAGATATTTTGAGATATTTTGAGATATTTTGAGATATTTTGAGATATTTTGAGATATTTTGAGATATTTTGAGATATTTTGAGATATTTTGAGATTATTTGAGATATTTTGAGATATTTTGAGATATTTTGAGATATTTTGAGATATTTTGAGATATTTTGATATATTTTGAGTTATTTTGAGATATTTTGAGATATTTTAAGATATTTTGAGATATTTTGAGATATTTTGAGATATTTTGAGATATTTTGAGATATTTTGAGATATTTTGAGATATTTTGAGATATTTTGAGATATTTTGAGATATTTTGAGATATTTTGAGATATTTTGAGATATTTTGAGATATTTTGAGATATTTTGAGATATTTTGAGATATTTTGAGATATTTTGAGATATTTTGAGATATTTTGAGATATTTTGAGATATTTTGAGATATTTTGGGATACTTTAAGATATTTTTAAAATATTTTCAAACTTCTACACAGCATCTTGTAGAGCTCATCGAAATAAGTTGAATGTAACAAACCATATGGTCATAGTTCAAATGGTGGTCGATATATGTAGATATATGTAAGTACTAATGTTTAGTTTTTTGAGCAAAAGTTTGAAATCAAAAATTTCTTTAGAATTTCTCTGTGTATAAATGTTGTATTTAGGTGTAGTAATATCTTGAAAATATACACTATGTAGATATATATAACTTTTCCTTACTCATTATAAAAGGAATCAATAAATCTACAAACTTCCATAGATTGTAAAAAATTATCTTTCTAACCCTATATGTACAACAGTTTAGCAGTAGATAGTTCAAAAAAGTAATAGCCGAAGTGATATTACACTTGACCTAGCGACTATCGCGGTAAGAAATTCATACGGTTCGTCAAACTTTTCAAATAACCCTCGTATATTTGGTTAAGCTAATTATTTTTATTACTAAACTTTTTACAAAGTTTTTCTTATTCAGTTACCTCCGATTCATATTCTAACAACTAAGTTTATTCACAATTATTAACAATACATTCAACATTACATACACTAAGTAAAATTAGTGCTTTCTATGTGTATTTTATAATAAAATTGTGCGATAAAAGATAGGTACTATAAGAATGACAGATGGTCACTTTCTATTTAATAAATATATCATCGGTATACCTGAGAAGGTGACAAGTCCAAATTTTTTTAGTTTTAATACTTATGTACCTTAAATTCAATATTTTTCAGGAAAAAATTAACTACTCGAAAAATGCCATAATAATGACCATAATAGTTGATTTGGTTTTATAATCTTAAGCAAATCATTAAAATACTAATATCGGTGGACTTGGTCACCTTCTCTTGTATACCGACGATATATACATATTTATTTTTCATTTTTGGTCCAAAACCATTTTAACAAACAACAAGTGACCAACTTTTTACTTCTAAAATGCATATTATTCACACACACAGTTTTTGCATAAAATTTGCCAACCAATCACAAATTTATTCAAGAAACTATCCAATTCAAATATTCCTTCTTCCATTAACAAAGAAATATTTCAAAAATTTAAATTTTTCGATATGAAAGCGTTTTACATTATTTGTGTAATATTATTAACGCTGATTTGAAATACTTTTGGTCCAATTATGTGACTGTTTCTTTCTTAACTTTTTTCCCGGAAAAATATAAAGCGACGACAGGGCCGGCTTATATTTTATAATTGTACGTGTTTAAATACAGACGGAAAATTGTATTTAAACCTCAAAATAAAGAAAATTGTAATTTATGTTTTAATAACAACATTCCAATTTAGAATTTTATATTTTGTATATAAAGTGACCCATTTAAGATGGAAACTCCTTAAAAATCTTAGATATCAGAAAGGTACATAAAAAAATAATGTATAACTATTTTCAAATCGAAATAAATTTTAATGGAAATTAAAATTTTTTGATATTTATAATAAATTCTGAATCGAAGAAAGAATTTTAATTGCAATTTTTCCGTTACATTCAAAAATCCAAAAAACTGCAAACATTTCTAAAATAAAAAAATTAAAATGGTCGACTTACCTTAATTGACGCCGGTCCCGAATTTAGATCGTTTTCAGTGTGTAAAGAGTTGTTTTCCTCGACATATGCTGTAATAATGTCAAAGTCATTGTCTTCTTGAATCTGAATAGAGCGGGATGCTGTGGGATGAAAAATTAGGTATTATACAAGATATTATATTGTTTATCATTTTAGATAAATTACATGCATATCATACAAATACATAATTAAATTAAAACACTACTTAATATAATTTATAATAAAAAAATTTAAGTCGGATGTTAAGATTAAAGGTTGCCGCTCACTTAATACCACATACCATGATAAACGACTGTTCAGTATAACAACAGTCTCGCTTAAAATGTAACTTAAAATGGAGGTTTCTGATTTTGTCTCTGTCAGATATGTCAATTATTTGTCATTCGTAAAAGTGAATTTTACGAATTGTGGGACCTGGCGATATTTTAGTTCCGCCTCTGTACTGTCAATTTTAATTTAAAGAAAAATCTAAAAATGATAAGGCCTTAAGTAAGCGCCAACCTTAATATTATTTTTACGAATAAATTTAGATAATTAAAAAAAATACAATGTTCATTCAAAAAAGAATTTTAAGTAGATGAAACAGAATATACTGTGAGTCAAATTAACTTTTCTTTTCAACCATTAATAATTTCTTTCTAGAGGGCAGATGGTCTAGTATATTCTGGATCCGATCTATTTTAGCGCGAGACAATTCAGCGCGGGAAACATTTGCTCCAACAAATCCGCGCTGACACAAATACATGAGAGACAAGTTAGCGCCGTGTCAAATTATAGTGAGATAAGTTAGTGCTTGACAAAACATTCCGGTATTCTAATTAAAACTAAAAAAAAACAACTAATTTACCTAATCTGTGCGGGCGGAAGTCAGTGGCGTACTTAATGGGGGGTTTTAGGGGTTACAACCTCCCCGAAATGTTAATAACACAGTCGATTCTATTTTAAATAAATTGGCTGAAAAACCAAGAAAGCTTGATATCCCAAAATCTAAATTAAAATAAAGTGTTTAATAAATGTCTTCTTTCTCATTTTACATTGTACAACATGTTATACTAATAAACTTAACAAACCCCAAAATAAAATGTCTGGGTGCGTCGTTGCCCCAAGACATCTACAGCAACCTTGGATGGCTCCAGGCCGTACTGGGTTGGCAAATTTCGATATTTTAATAGAGAATCTCGTTAACTATAAATGTTATGGAAAAATGGAACTCCAGTCCTCGATCTCTTTTTTTGAGAAAAACTTAATAGCATTTTCAAAAATTGGCTATTGTCTCTTGTTTTCGAGTTATAAACTAAAGTTCGTTTTTTCAAATTTTCATTATATGGCATTATAACGTTTATTTATGCAAGTGGAAAAAAATAATTTATACCTTCTTTTTTGATAAGAATCCAATAGCGTAGTCAATTTTATTTAAGAATTCTTCAACTTCGAACTATAGCATAAAGTTGTATTTTTTTATATGGAATTGGTAGTTGACTGGTATACACAAAAAGACAAAAAAAATTCCATTCTAATAATGTGGGGCCAGTTTATTAATTTTCATTTTTATTTAGTAAAACGATTAAAAGAAAATCTCATAAACTATGGAACTTTTAAAAAACCAAAGATACAGATACAGAATTATAATATTATCCAATATTATTGGAATGGTAGCTGCAAATATTCGATAACAAGTCGTCAAATTAAAGCCGTGCCTGGAATATCACGAAAACGAGCATTATCGGTTTTAAAAAAATACAAATTCAGACCCTATAAAATAAAGAAACAGCAACATCTCCAACCAACCGATCCCGAACGACGTCTAATTTTTTGCAATTGGTACCTTGAAAACATAGACCGGAATCCATAAGTCTTTACAGAAATTATATGAACAGATGAATCTTACATAAACAGTGCCGGAATTTTCAATCGACATAACGAACATTGGTGGTTCGACATTAACCGCCATCGTAACTTTGATGTCCAAAATCAGGAACGTTTCAGTTATAATGTTTGGTGTGTCCTATTGAGCAATGGCATTTTAGCCTACCAAATTTATGTTGGAAAAGTAAATGGCCAATGATTTTTAGAAATTTTAAACGAACACATATTCGATGGTTTTTTGGACGACTTAACGTTGAATGAGAGACGAGATATATTTTTTCAACACGATGGAGTACCCCTTCACAGTAATAGAAACGTCTCTGAATTCTTAAATCTTCATTTTAGAGACAAATGAATAGGGACAAACGGACCGGTAAGGTGACCACCACGTTCACCAGATTTAACGCACCTAGATTTCTTCTTCTGAGAATATATTAAAGACAATTTATACAAAAATACTTCTAATTCAAATCATAATTTTATCTCCAATATCCATATTTATAACGCAATTCGAAATGTTTCCAAACGATGTCATTTATGTGTTGCGAATAATGGACATCAATTTGAAAGTTTAGTCTAGTTAGTTTAATATTTTTTAATGATGTTGTAATTGGTAGAACAGCATCGTCAATATTATAATTCCCTGATTTGTTAAAAGTTCCAAATGTATGAGATTTTCTTCTAATTTTTTGAAAATATAATTATTAGGTTATCTTCTGTAGTATCCCTTGTTATTGTTAAGTGTTGCACGGCAATGTGCAAATATAGTTATAAAATATTAGTAGTCAAATGTCAATGTTAAAAAGCTATCAAATATATTTTTAATTTCTAATGGTTTCTCAATCTCCTTTACAATAATTCATCCTAAGGAGTTACAAGAGATTGGCGACGTAGGTAAATCACTGCTCAAATAAAATCAACCCTTCATCAAAGAAAAAAAAAAGAAAGCAAATTAAAGTAACTCACCAGACTCCTGAAACATATTCGAACCATGAATTCAGAGCAGTTTAAACAATTTTTGGTAGCAATGCAGGCAAATCAAGAGGCTCTTATCGACCATCTTCGACAACCTTCATCAGTAAGTCCAGTATCTACTGTCCATTTGAAAATTTCAACCCCAAAAAAGAGGACTTTCGTATATACAGAGAACGTTTTGAAAACTATTTAATAATGAAAAATGTATTCAATAACAAGAAGTTTGCAGCCGAATTACTATTAAATTCTATTGGATCACTCACATTTTCCATATTATCGGCACTGGTAAGCCCTCAAGTGCCAAGTGAATTTAATTACGAAACACTTATTAAGAAGCTTGAAACCCATTTATGTCCAAAAAGAAATGTTCTGGTGTCTCAGCATAAATTTTTATCCACCTTTCAACAAGAAAACCAATTAATTGCAGACTACATTTCTATACTAAAACGTATAACCCTCGATTGCGAATTTATTTCATCATGCGAGTGTAAATCAAATATCGCAGACATTTTTCTATGAGCTCAATTCATTAGAGGCATTAATGAAACATCAATGCGTGAACAACTACTTCAATCGACCGAAAAATCTTTCGATAAATTAGTAGAAAAAGCTTTAGTTCTAGAATCTTCTAAGTTAGAGAGCAAAGAAATTTCGTCCAGCTGTACCTCATCAAACATCAACAAAATCAACCATTCATCAACAAACAGATCAATACCTAGGTCAAAGTCTCATGGAAGGAAACATTCCAAATCAAGATTAAAAATCAACTATCAAGAATTAGGTATCGATAAGCATTGTATACGCTGTGGCAAGGACAATCACCTTGCTAAAAATTGTAGGACTGATCCTATAAAACTTTACTGTTTTGCTTGTGGGAAAACAGGTCACGTTAAAAAAGTTTGCATTTCAACTTTGTTATCTAACAAAAACAGACCAGGTACTTCCACCAACTATATCGATCAAGAAGATGTTTTTGGAATCAACAAAATTGTTATTGACATTTTTGAAAACCAATACAATGATGCTCAAAAGTTTTACGCAACCGTATTCATAGAAAACAAACCTATACAATTTGAAGTAGACTCCGGAGCAAGTTTCACCTTGATACCAGAGTCCGTATTTAAACTATTAGATTAAAAAAAATTCCACTTCAAAAATCAAATATTGTATTTAGATCTTACACCAAAAATATTTTTTATCCAATTGGAAAAACAAAAGTATCTGTACGGTACCATGATAAGATTTCCAAAGAAGAATTTTATGTCGTCCAAGACAGTTTTAAACCACTATTAGGTCGTGAGTGGATTAGGCATCTCGACATCAATCTTCAAGATATCGATAGCAACCTTCCTTCCAATACCAACCAACTTGATACACGAAGTACTGAACTTGATACACCAGAAGATTGATCAATCAATTTCCAGAAATCTTTGAAGAAAGAATCGGCTTGGTACCCAATTTCAAAGTATACTTACATCTGCGTGAAAACGCCAAAACAGTATTTTTTAAAGAAAGAAGTGTACCCTATGCTCTTAGAGAAAAGGTTGAAAAAGAATTAGATAGTCTCGAAGCAGTCGGAATTATTTCAAAAGTAGATCATAGCGACTGGGGATCACCTCTAGTTGTCATTCCAAAGGCTGATCGCGGAGTTAGACTTTGCGTAGATTACAAAGTCGGCGTCAACGACAGGCTAGTAGGAGCAAATTATCCAATTCGGAAGATCGAAGACATTCTTAACACCTTAAAGGGTTCCAAATATTTTTGTCGACTTGATTTATATAAAGCCTACCTGCACTTACTGGTAGACGAGAAAACCAGTGATATTCAAACAATTTCAACACATCGTGGTACTTACCGAATTAATCGACTTTCATTTGGAATCAAAACCGCTCCTTCCGAATTTAATCGTATTGTTGATCAAATTCTTTCCGGATTATCAAAAACCCACTCGTACTTTGATGACATTATAATCCATGGATCAACAAAAGAAGAGTGTCAGAGAAACCTTTATGCCTGTTTTCAGCGATTAAAAGATTTTGACCTTCATCTAAACCGAAAGAAATGTGCATTTTTTGAAACCAGCATCGACTACCTAGGATACGTTATCAAACGCAATCAAATTTTAAAATCTCCAAAGAAGATACAGGCCATTTTGGATATGCCAAGACCAACTGATGTAGATGGAGTTCGAAGATTTCTTGGGTTGATAACGTACTACAATCGTTTTATTCCCAAAAAAATAGAAAATTCATCTGGTCGG